ATATTTTATTCAAAAACATTTATACAAAATTGTTTAACAATTGTTAGTTTCACTTTAATTAAGTACATGGAACCAAGCTTGTTAATTGAAAGCCCTTGAGGGTTCTAAGGTTTTAAAAAGTCTCATTATGATGCATAGATAGTTTTGACTACCGAAATTGTAGTTGCCACTCTTGGTCAGTCTTCAGCCTTCGTTTAGAAGGAAAAGAAGTGGAAGTTCACACAAATCAGTATTGAATTAATTTTCATGTTTATCCTCGGCACTGTTATCTGCTGGGGAGGACACTACCTGCTACCCCCTTTGCAGCCCGCTTAAAGCTCCGTGTGCTGCACTGTTGGGAACTTCTTGAGCACAGCGTGGTACAGGTTCTTGAAGGCATAGAAGCTGACAATGACGATGACAGTGAACACGAAGATGAACACGAAGCTCATGAAGCTGCCGTCTATGACGCTGGCACGGTTGTGCACGCGGGGCTTCTTTCCCGGCGGGGTGTTGGCCATGGCCGCGAGCGAGTCTGCGTACTCGCTGTCGTTCATCACCTCCCGCATGTGCCGCAGGTGCTCCCGCAGCTCATGCACCGAGCGGCGGTCCTCCTCGGTCCACTCTGCGGACAGGGGCAAGAGGCCATAGTGCCATAGCTCATACCGCCCGTGGGCCTGGACCTTCCCCGTGGGGCATGTCCCGCGTACCTACCCGTCGGCTCGGTCGGGAGGGACCCCTCCTGCATGCTGATGTTCACCATGACGACAGCCTCGATGGTATCCTGGGTGCTGTTGGAGGGTCCTCGCCTTGCACTTGTGCGGCGCCTGCGAGGTTGACGGCCAAACGTAAGCAGTAGACAGTCAGGACCAGAGTATTGATCCACTGAGCCTGACGGGGTGGGGGTGAGTCTTCAGTGCCCTCTCATCCAACCGGCACCACCCTCCCCCCCCCCCCTCTCTCCATCTCTGGCGCTCCTGTTCCCTCACGGCCCTCACCCACAAACCCTTTCTCCATCCTTATTCCACACAACCCAGCCTATGGTTCTTTGGGGCTTGACGAAACCGGGACTATATGACGGGGAAACTTCCCCTGGTGATCCTTTGAAAGATGCGGGGGAAGATAGGGGCGAGTGATGAGCGCGACCGGAGTTCTAAAGAATTTATTACAATTGAATTGTTAAGGCTGGATTAATTCATTATTTGTGGTTTCGACTTTTAGGGTTGATGAATGGTGGGTATGGGCCATACAATAAAAAGCCTGAAGAACAGTTAGGAGAATTTTAATTTAATTATCAGACGATATCACAGAAAATTATTCCACTGAATCACAATTACCTTCTCATCGCTATCTGCGAATTAAAAAAATCCCTTGACTGGTCACTGAATTCTTATTTTTAACAAAATATTTTTCATTATTCTAATTTTTATAATTATGATTTAACACTGATGTTGAAGTTCTCACACAAATGGATAAAGAGTGAAAGTACAAAAGGAAATCAGGAATGTTCTGTGAAAAAAGTTGGAAAGACAGTCAACAAAAACTTTAAAAAAATTACAGTCCAAATTAATCCAATTGATGAGGTAATGAACAGTCTCAGTTAACATATTTTGATAGGACAAATGACAGTCTAAGGAGCAAAAGCAAGAAAATGGTTTCTTATGTCTTTGTCTTTGTCAAAAGATGGCACAAGCGAGGCCAACTTACAAAAGAGAACTGTCAAGTAGCTCTGAGATTGAGATCAAGATCATGCAGAGTTCCTTGTGAGGGTGTCAGCACTCTGATGAGAAAATTCTAATTCTTTGACTGCTGCCTCTAAACTGAAAAGATGTTCATCCTCTTCCTCAGGAGCGATGTCTCTCATTGAATTAGCTAAGTTATAGAGATACTCCCGATTTGCACCACTATTACCACGAGCATTCACTATGCGGCGTGCCATGTCTTCTATACTAAGTGGTCCGACATACCATGGATTAGTATCAAGCCCAACATAAATCACAAGATCAAAAGCGTCAAATAGATCTGCAAACAGAAGTTAACAATTTGAAGTAGATCCTGGAAAAGGAGCACATAGGAGTGTTTCGACAATTCCTGAGTTAGCTTCACTGGTACCTGTAGCTTGGGAATCATTGTTTTGAACACCAGTAAAACTGTTATTTGCTGGATAAAATTTTACTGATTGCTTGTTATATCCATCTTTCTCTCTGTGATCCAACTGAACTGTCACGATTTCTTCATCTTCCTGGGCTATCTCATATGCAACGCCCCAAACACGATCCTGAACAAAACAATTTTAGAATAAGAAGACAATTTGAAACTTAAGGACTTATATATTTTTCAAAAAAGTAAGAAAGTATCCAACTTACTTTTGAATTTGATGAAGGCAGAAGTGTGACAACTAAACCAGGCTAGAAGGAAAAACAAATTAGTGCTGTGATAAAGTATAATTGTCAATATATTAACATATTATAAAACATAGACAAAGCATACCTTGCCAGGGACACCTCTGTGGTCCTCGCTTGATTGATAGAAACGCCTCACATAACCTGTGATGTACCCATTGAGTTTCCGTTTGTATGGAAAACCAACTTTCCACACAAGAGAACCATAGCCAAACACCCACATGTCAGCGATGGAAGCATAAGCACAAGGCAAGGGAGGTGAGATGGTGTTAATAGATGCAGTAGGAAAAAATAATACTGCTGAGAATTAGTATCAGACCAATTTGTGACAGCAGCTGAATTATTTCAGAGGGTTAGAAAACAAGCTGAGGGTGCAAGATACTCTAAAAATTTGTTACAGAAACAATTTGCAGATTTCAATTTTGACTCAAATAGTAAAAGAACTATTCTGCAATTGTGGCAATGTTTACAGAATATTAGCAGAAGGAAAGTGCATTGACAGATACCATGCTAGAAGGCGGTGTGTGCCGTCAGCACGCCTAAGCACAACATATTCAGATTGAGGTCTTGCATCTTGCATGAGCAGAATATATGGTAGAAACGCCCTAGTAGGCATGGCAAACATAAGTTTAAGGCTTTTATGGTGAGTTAGGCACACGATAACTCGACCATAAACATGATATAACGGTAAGATGCTACTGCACACCGGTCACAGTACCAACAAGTGGGAAGGATATTCCTGGGTATTCCCCACTGTATCCTAGCATACTGATCCAGCAAAGTGTGACCACATCGTGATCTCACTGAACTGTGCTCCCCCATCACTTAAAACCACCCCTGCAGCTTTGAGGGCCGTGCTGGGGCCTGGGCTGAGCCGTGCCGGCCGGGTGCCAGGTGATGGGCCCCGTGGGCCCCGTCCTGGAGACAGCGGTACTGCCTCCTGCTTTTTTGGCCGTAAGCCTCTGAACTGGCGTCTGTTCGACGTCTAACTGACGTCAGTTTAGATGCTTCTGCTAAAAAAAAATTCGACGTTGCATCTCACTGGGAAGCACGGTACGGGGCGGTGTGCGGCACTGCCAAGAGGGCATTGTGAGCGGGGGAGTTCCACGGTTGAGACGCTTTCCATTCTTTGCTATACGGCACCGCCGCAAGTTTATTAACGTGGATGACAGTTGAATAAAGGCGCCAGTCAAATGATAAAAGTAATAACAAATTCATACGGTGATTGAGATGCATCCACAAACGCGACGCTTATGATAGCGCCTGCAGCGCGCAGGGTAGGCCGACCCGCCACGCAGCCGCGTGGAGCCGGCGGCCCAACCCACCCCGCGCGCCCGCGCGCACGCACGCCAACGTCGCCAACGACTGTGACGCTCCCATCACGGTAAGGTTGCCTAGTTCAATGGAAAGTAGATAGATATTATCTACATAATAAGTAACACAAACTTCGCACTCAACAGGTGTTGTAAAATGTACAAAACGCTCACTACAGTCAGGGAGTCAGTGTCGGAGGCGGGCAGTCCAGCCGGAGTTCCCCGCCGCGGCACCGCGTGAGGGCCAGGGGCGCTGCCCAGTCCTCGGCGTTGAGCGGGAGGACCGCGTCGCGGAGCTGGCCCAGCTGGCCCAGCAGCTGCAGCGCCTTTTCCTTGAACGGCCGGTTGCGCTCCCAGCATCCCGAGCACGCGCACGGCGCCCGGTACGTCGCCCTGCCCCCACAAGGTACCTGGTTGCAGCTCGACCCGCTCGACCCGCTCAACTGCACGACGGAGTCACATTTCATCTCTATCTCCATTGGCTTGGGATCACCAATTTTCCGCAGGTCCGGCTCATCACTGCTTGCTACCAAAACTTCAAGGTCTAGTATAATTATGACACATCTGAAAATACAATGTTTATTAGAATTCTAGTTTGACTAGAAGAAACCAAATTCAAATGACACATTTATTGTAAAAAAAGGCAAAAAGCTTCCTCCCTATCAAATGCACTTACATGGCTTCGCCTGGTATAGGGCTTGGTACAGAAGGTGTGACATATCTCTTGATGCAGATGATAGAGTAATCACTCAAATCTCCGTCATGAAACATGTGAAGCAATTCTAAATCGAGCACTGCCTGGCTGTAGGCATTTACACCATCTGATAGCAATAGTCGATACCTTGGATCCTTCCCCGGACATTTTTTATTCCCCTGGACACGAGACAAAAAGTTAGTAGTTTGAGAAAAAGTACATAGAGAATCCATTGCAGTGGGATAGAGACTCACTAAAATCTGCAATATTGGGGAGTCTACGTTGTCTCCTTTGTCTACAATAGCCTGAAATAACAAGAATTTAGACAGAACAGAGAGAGCGTAGTGGGCTTATCCAGATACAAAAAAGGAGAAAAAAACAGTCTCAGTAAAATTTAGGAAGGTTGCACATATTGCTTTTGAGAATTACTTACACTTAGTGCTCCTTTAGTGAGCTGTGGTAAGTCATCTAGCAAATCCTCCCCTTTAGGCTTTTGAACAGAATTTCTCCATCTTGCAAACCGAGGATTACCTATACGTCTACTGGCAGGTGCGACTACTTCCATACTCGTAATATTCAACATTTTACTGGAACAGTATATAATAATTCAGCTGATGCACATTTGAGAAAAATCAAATCTACAAAAATATAAGAACTTACAATCTTCCACCATGCCCTCCTGATAGGTTGGTAACAATATAGTCATTAATGCAAACAACAGCGTTGTCTGCTAGATCTCCACGATGGACCATGGCATTTAAACGTATGGAGAGGATCACAAAGAGATCAGAATCTACACCATCCGAAAGTATGAGAGAGTACTGTTCACGTTTAAATATTCCAATTTTTTCGTGTCCCTACACATGTCACAACACATGAGAAGGTGAAAGGGGTGTAACAAATTTCTCAAGAGAAAAACAAGGTCCAACAACAATAAAGATAATCTTACCAACAGCTGCAGGATAAACGGAGGTTTAACATGGCCTCCATTAACAAAAGTCTAAAACAAATACAAATAAAAATCATAGAAACAGCACTGGATTGTTGGGCAACAAAAACGCTTGGAACATAGTAAACCAAAGTCAAAACAACACCGTGAGGTTCTTGGTTCCTCACCTTAACTGTTCCCTCAGAGAGTTTCATAATAACTGAGTAGCGTTATAAAATTTTGAAAGTATGAAGAGGTAACCGATTCTACCCTCTTCAGGTTCGAGGCGCACCTGACACGCCCCTATCTTGTCTGAAAGGCCTTGAACACTAATGAACTGAACAGTGAACATTGAACACTGCCGGCCGGCGGGAGTTTCGGATCAAAGTGAATCTGCTCCCATCTGCTCCCGACCTGCGAATGGCAATATGAATGTGTTCCCCCTTTCACTGTTGACTTGGCTGTCGACGTATTGACTGAAGGCGGTGATGAATTAATGGACACAACACTTTGGTGAAATGAAGTTAATTTTTTCGTCGCAGACCTGCTTATATTTATGTTTGTGAAACGATACTTCTCCTCAGCCTCCTGCATTTGCTGTCGGAAATATATTTAGCTGCGGGTGAGTATTATCCAGTCAGTGGAGCACTTTGCTCGCTAGTACCAAGTCGGGCTCGTTTGAGTTCGCCTACTTCTCGTACGTCAAAACAGGCTAGCAGACTACTCCCATACCGCTCGAAAACTGTTGACCCCACCTAGCTGGCGGACCTTAAACTGAAGTTGTTGTCAATTTCCACTGTCAGCATGCCTCTCTCACTCATTCATGAGGCTTTCCCCGCACGACAAGTTTCAAGAGAATGACAGTCGTGGCAGAACTGACCATCCGAGGTTATGTTGTTTTGTGTCATTTTTGTTCATTGCTCGGTGGTTAAAAGTTGGATTTCGTTATTATACGCTCAGTAAATTTTCTTCGCCGTGACCATAATTAATTTTAAGCTTATTCTGGGTTGTGTCTCAGTCTGTTTTGGGCGGCTTATATGCCATATGGAGGTGTATTGCTGTCTGCAAACTTCTGCAAAGCAACATGCAACACACCTTAGAGACCTTATGAGCTTTATTGATATCTTTTCTGGGCTTTTAGATATCATGTGGTGTGTCTATCCTATCCGTTCAGAATTCAGTTCTCACTTTGCTGAGGTGCTTCCGGTGCACATTGGTGGAGTCGATTGTAACATCTTTGACCCATAGTAATAACCCTCTGACAGAATGAGGTGATTGTACTTAACCAAGATTAACTCAGCACCTTGGTTTAGTTGGTAATCCACACAGTTTGAAACAGCCGAAAGTTCTCTCGCCTGACCCAAAATTCATGTGTGGTGTATAGCCATATTATACATAACCGAATTACTTTATGATTTACATTGCGCCCTCTCTGAGATGCTTGCCACCATTCGATGCCTATACGGTACAACAGTTTTAGAATGTGTGCTTTAAAACTGTGATAATCTTATCCCCATGGCATACTACTACTAAGAGGAACATACGTACATTAATCGGGAGAACGTTTTCAATGTTGCATTGACTAGGTTGGTTATTGTTTTTCGACAGATTGTGTTTT